AGTAGCTTCTTGCTCCTAGTAGCAAGAATGCTACTAGTAGTAATGCCTTGTTACTAGTAGCGATGCCATTTGTTCCTAACAGTTTCTTTCGCCTAGTAGCAAGTGGTAATGCTCTTTGTTACTAGTAGCGATACCCTTTGTTCCTACTAGCTTCTTGCTCCTAGTAGCAAGAGTGCTACTAGTAGTAATGCCCTTTTTTACTGTTCGCGATGCCCTTTGTTCCTAGTAGCTTCTTGCTCCTAGTAGCAAGAAAGCTACTAGTAGTAATGCCCTTTTTACTAGTAGGGATGCCCTTTGTTCCTGGTAGCGTCTTGCTCCTAGTAGCAGGAATGCTACTACTAGTAGTAGCGCCTTTTGTTACTAGTAGCGATGCCCTTTGTTCCTACTAGCTTTTTAAAAACAGGAAAGTTGGTTGTGTCTTGCAAGGATGACATACCTTCTTCAAGAAAGGAATGATCTTGAAGTTATCGGAATGCGTGTTACTGGCTCGACCAAGGTCTATCCTTCGTTCCCGTTCGGCGTGCCAGACAAGAAGAGGGACAAGCCTTTGAGCAAGTACCTAACGCAGGACCAAGTTCAAGTGTCACAGTATCCTAGCAGCTGTTCATAGAAAAGCAGACATTTTGCGCTGCGGCACTCACAAAGCTGTTGCCATCCAATTGCTGATGCAGATTGATGGCATTGACCTAGACTCTCCAATCTGCAAGGATGTAGCCATTGAGGGACAGGTGCGGATCACTCTCAATCCTGACGTCTTTTTGCGGGCAGCGACCTCAGGGACCCTGGGGACGCGATGGCCTCCAACCCCTAATAGCAAGGAAGAAAGTCGTTTCCAGTTTCCGAATACAGGCCATAGCTAGGTCTCCAACCTAATAGAAACGGTCTCCAACCTAATAGCAATGGCCTCCAACCTACTAAGCGCCAAAGAAACCCCAAAGACAAGAAACAGAGCCCAAAGAAACCTGAAACCACTGAAACCCAAAGACAAACACAAAGAAGTCCGTATTATAGTTCCTCTCTCCTCTTTCCTAACTCCTACTTCTCCTTCGTTAAGTGGGATGCCTTTTCTGCTCCCTCCCTTTGTCACTGTCTCGCTCTCTCCCTCCCGCTGGCTCTGCTGTTTCGTCCCCTGACCTTTTTGCTGCTCCTGATGCTTGTGAAGCACTCCCAGAAAACCGCGAAAAACATTCCCAGAAAAAATCATGGAAAACATCTCCATCCATAGCGATGGCCTCCAGCCTAATAGCGATGGCCTCCCACCTAATAACGATGGCCTCCAATCTGCTTGCAATGGCCTCCACCCTAATAGCGATGGCCTCCAACCTAATTGCGATCTTAGGGATTCTGGGGACACCATGGAACAGACGCAACTCAAGGAATCCAAACGGAAGACCCGTCTCATGCTAGGGAGGGAGAATGATAATATAGTTCAGAAGGGCCTCGATGGTGAGAAGCACAGAAAACGATCTTTTGAGACTAGTGACAAGACAAGGCATCGCTACTAGTAACAAGCGCATTACTACTAGTAACAAGCTACTTAGCAGGTAGTCGCTCCCTAGCTTCTACTAGCTGCCGAAGCTACTAGTAACAAGTGCCTTACTAGTAGTAACAAGTGCCTTACTAGTAGTAACCATGTTTGCTACTAGAAACAAGTGCCTTACTACTAGTAACGGGAATTGACCTCCAGGACCGGAGTGACTTCTCAGGCCACCACTGCTCGAATGTTCACCTTCTCGGCGGACCGCTTCTCGCGGCGCACCACGGGGATTGTATTTTTGTTTGGGCAATTTTGTGTGTTTTTTCGTGAAACAAAACAACAGAAACACACAACACCGAAAAAATAGAAGCACCTGCAAAACCTGAAGAGTTGTGAAGTGTGTTTTCATCCCATGTTCACAAAGTGTTTTCCTTTTTGTTTTGTTTTTTGGTTGTGTTTTCACCGGTAGTCTGGAAACGCAGGATCCCACCTTCCACAAGCAGCTTGGCAGATGATAATTTCCCCAAATGGCCTCCATCCTAGTAGCCATGGGCTCCAAAGTCAATGACTTTGGCCAACATTTTCAGTCCTTGACTTTTTGTTTCGATTGCAGCTGTTGCCGACTTGCGGCAGCAAAGGGACAAGCTTAGGAATCGCGCTGATTTCCAGGAAGAGCTGAAGCCCGGCAAACCTAGAGCAGTGTCAGCAACAAGTTGCTTTTTCGTCTAAAATAGAAAACCAAAGACGTACAAGAAGGGAAACACACGTGAATTGAAATGATGGGTTGTACCTTGTACCTGTCGTTGTGCTGTAGCGATGCTTGATGCAACACAAGTGCAGCTGCAACCGTGCACCTTGATCCAATGTCCAAATCTGAAACGAAAGATGTGAAGTGTTTTGGCGCTTTCTTATTTCATTAGTAACAAGAAGCTACTAGGGGCTCCTGGCATCGCTGCTAGGAGCAAGGACGCTACTAGGGGCTCCTGGCCTTGCTACTAGCAACAAGAACGCTACTAGTAACAAGAAACTACTAGGTGGAGCATTCTTACTACTAGTAACAAGAAGCTTTTTAGTATGTCTCCATTTCAGGTCCATGCTGGAGCCCATCTTGGGCTCAGAGGCCGTGCGCCGCAAGGCTGCCCGGGCCCCAGCGGTGCTTCCAAAGGCGCTTCGAATCTTCAAAGAGCCCCTAGTAGCACTTTCCACGGTCACCGAGGCCAAAGGCATATTCGGAGGAGATCCGCCGGAGTGGTGGTCTGCCGAGGAAGGGTTCCTGATTGGACCGCAGCTTGCCATTCTTGTCCACAACTTTGAGACACACGAGTGAACTGCTAGTCGGGGAGTGGTATGGTATCTTTGGCTTTCAATGTTCCAATTTGCGTTCTCCCCTGGTCCGCTTAGCGAGCGCATCAATGCTTAAGCAGGATCAAAGTGACCTGGCAAAGATGTCCAAGGGCCGCTATGCATCTTCAGCGCTTGACGAATAGCTTTATTCATCACCACCGCGCCTTTGCATTGAAGCACACAAACTTAAATGTCAAGAGACTGGAGATAAAATGGAGATCTAATGGAGATGCAATGATCTGTGATCAAAGTCGTTTGGTGGGAAGAGTCACGAAGCCTTTCTAGCCGGCTAGCGTGAGAAAGTCACGGGTCGGGCTGGGAAGCTGGCAAAATCGTGGCGTGAAAAGATGAGCTCTTGTGTTTTTATAGAGCCTGTCAGCTGAAAGGTAGAGCAGTTCAAAGATTTGCATATGCAGATGCATCTAGTGAATCTAGTGAGTAGAAACAGCAGCTTAGTAGCTAGGATCGTGACAACTTTTGAATCATGTTTGTTTTCAAGCAGTGCTGATCAAAGATGCCATCGGGTTTTCTCGTTTTTCTTTTTGCTTCGTCGCACAGCTGTGCAACCATTCCAAGTCTGACTGTTCCGATTGGGAAGACTATTGAGATCGGACTTGATGAATCTAGAGGAGATGCATGGGAAGGTAGGCAAAGAGATGGCATGGCTCCCTTGCTGACCGAAAAATATTAGCCAACACAAGCTCAGTTGACATTGCCACATATCGACCCCCTTCAGGACATGTCAAGACATCTCAACGGCCTTTGAACTCGCTATTAGGTTGGAGGCGATGCCTGGAAGGTTGGCCATCGCTCTTGGGTTGGAGGCCATTGCTATTAGGTTCTTTGAACTCGTTGTTTTCTCTTCATCTACCATGTTCACAACACGATGATGCCGGATGATGCTGGAAAATGCCTGCGCTTCTTCTGCACAAGGCTCACAGCAGTCTCAGGTTTGACCAGAATTCTTGCAATTCAGATGCTCAAACTGTATTTCTGCTTTAAGAATTGGAAGTGATGGTAGTAGTGACTGGTAGTCCTTCTGTAAGGAGAGCCCTCCTAGAGTTAAACTCAAAGACATTGTATGCGTTGATCAACACATGTGATTCACATACACAAACACACACACACAGAGTTTCCTGTTGTTGAATTCTTCAATGTTGTCATTATTTTTAGTCTATGGCCGCGGGTGTTAGAGATGACGGGCAAAGCTTTCTATTTTTTCCCGAAAGCATTGCGAAGGGTTCTTCCGGAAAATCCCTTGAACACTGACACTTCGACACGTACACTTAGACACTGACACTTCCACCACATTCGCAGTACATACACTGACACTTCGACATGGACACTTACACATACACACTGACACTTGGCAAGCACGCAGTGTAAGTATACAATTGATGGGTGCGCAAGCATGCTTTGAGCATGCAAGCACGCAATGAGTAGGCAAGTGTGAGTATGCAAGCATGCTTTGAGCATGCAAGCATGCAATGAGTAGGCAAGTGTGAGTATGGAAAACTAGCACGGGAGATGTCCTAATGAAAAAACATTTCCCCACTTTATAAATTCTCTCTTAAAGGCGGAG